CTTTGGGTTCAGTTTTTCAGTTTGCATCATTCCTCACTCGGTGCCTCCAGCAAAGTCCCAGAGCTGCAGCGAGGATCTCATTCATTCGAGCTTGGCTCAAGTCCAAGCTCGGGTTTCGGGTGGTTTTCTGTTCTGGTTCTGCCCTGGGCTTTACACTCGGTATCAGCACCGACTCCTCAAGTCAACATTGTGAGAGAGACCTTGGCTTCTGCTGTTGAGGTCCTTTCGCAAAACACTCACCCACACAGGGAGAACCCAGCAGACAGCATCTAAAGATGCATCGACAGCATCTTAATCAGGAGCGGAGAATCACAGGATGGTTTGTGTTGGAAATCTTTGAAGATCCAACTCCTCCCACCAGCCCACGCTGCTCCAAGCCCCAGCCAACCTGGTCTTGGGCACTGCCAGGGAGGGGGCACCCACAGCTTCTCTGGCCAACCTGGGCCAGGGCCTCACCACCCCCATCCTGTTACTTACATCCAATCCAAAACCACCTCAGTTTTGAACCACTGCCCCTTGCCCTGTCACTCCCAGCCCTGCTACAATGTCTGTCTCCACTCTCTATACAGGTCCTCGTGAAAGGTTGCAGTAAGGTCTTCCTGGAGCCCTCTGTTCCCCAGGCTGAACACCCAACTCTCCCAGGCTTTCCTCATGGCTTCATACGATGTACAAAGCCTCAACCCAAAGACTCGCCCGCAGGGGCAGGGGCCTGCAGGGGTTTAAGTTACCCCAGAATCACTGGACAACATTGGATGGGTTGCCAGGAGTGGGAGCAGAGCACAGAGGAAACCAGAACAGCTGAAAATGCTGAAGTGTCAGTCCCCATTTCCTTTATTTGAGCCAAGAGCATTCCAAGTTTGGATTTCACCGTTAGTTCACAGATAGTTTAAAATGCAAACTTTCTGTGAAGCAGCGAACGCTTGTGTCTCCCCAGACCCATTCCAAATTGCCCTTCTACCCTGACAGCAGCAGATGCTCCCCCAAGCTTTGGAGACCAAACAGCAAACAAGGACCAGACAAAGACTTCAACTCCCTCCCCAGCCGATGAGTTTTTCCTCTCTGCTCACAGCACAAGTGTTTTGTCCAGTCACACAGCTGCCCTCTTTAACGCAATTCCATTCGTCTTTATTTCCAAAAATCATCAGCCCCTGGGAACTCAGCAGGCGCCAGTGGAAGGAGGGGTCAGCGCAGCAAACTGGGCTGGCAGCAGCGACCCTATTTTGGTGTCTGAGCGTTCAGCCTGAGTGATCCCAGGTGCTGCTTTTCAGGAACACATCCACCACGAAAGTCGTGGTTCCTCCTGCGACAGCAGCTACACATCCTATGGGGTCATGGTGAAAAACGCTCCTCAGTATTTATAAACTCCCAATGTGCTGCCATTAACAAATGCAAAATAATTGCCCAAAGGCCATTTTCAGCTTTGCATTTCATATAACAGGAAGCAAATCCTGACTAAGAGGACAGAAATACACTGAAGCAGCTGCCCTCAGCACTGCCTCCCTGAACAAAGCCGAATTGTGCAGAGAAGCAGATGTAAATCTGTTACCTCCACCCTGAGACATCACCAGTATCAATGCTGCTGTTTCCTAACTTAGTGTTTTTCTCTTATGCTTTAAAAATGGCTTAAAGAAGAAAAACTTATTCCACACGATGCGATCTATTTGAGCTTCAGTTGAATTATTTTTGGTGGCAGCAGTGACCCCAGCTATACTTGGAACACTGATACAACGCGTAGCTTTCCTCTGTGGCAACATTATTTCATTTCTTAGCGTCCAGATATTCACTTCAGTTTGACCTTTTAAAGCAATTTACTTCAAAAGCCAAGGAAGAAATACATACAGTTCAGGAAACCCTGAAAGCACAGGCTGTGCTTCTACCCACATGGCTACGTTTTGTCAACACAGATCATTTTCTTAGGGAAGAAGAAAAGCCTCTAGAGTCACACACACGCGAGACACCCCAGTTTAAAATTTTATTGGAAACATTCAAAAGCTCTAGTAACAAGATCACCTCGTAGTACAAATATAGATTTAAATGCAGAAACTAACCCAATGAAAATCTATTCATGATTACTGTACATTAGTGGAATATTAACTCTTGGCTACCCACGTTGTAAGTGAAATGGAATGAAAGCTGAGTTAGGAGAAACACCTCACGAAACAAGAGAGAATCTGCGCAGGCCCACGTCAGAAAGAGTTCTTCTTCCTAACACAGGCGCCCGCTAAGGAGACAAAACCCAACTGGAGGCCCTAAAGCTCTGGCTTCAGTTTTCCTGTGTCTTTATGGTCACAGCATATAATTGAGTCCAGTTAGAGAATCCTATTCGTGCTGCTCGTCCTTGACTGCCAAGGAGGCACTCGGAGAGTAACGGGGCTTTCAGGGGCTAGAAAGAGCAAAGATTACCTTCCGTGTCGCAAAGCTCAGCAGGATTAACTGGAAACACAGACAAGCGTTGGCTTAGAACTAAATCCAGCTGGCAGAAATCTCACTCAGCATCTGTTGACTTATAGTGATCATCATCCACCGTGGAGTAGATGTGTCCCTCGCTGCTAAGGAATTCAACAGCTTGCCTTTGAAGGAAAATTTAAAAAAAAAAAAAGCAATTGCCAACTAGTTCTTATCAACTCCTTTCTCTCAGGGATTCCCTATCTACAGACCCCATCCCTACTGCTCCCTCCTGCCATCTGCCAAGGGAAGATCGTGGTGGCTCTGTCCTGTGGAGCTGTAAGTGCTGCTGCACCACTCAGCAGGTACAGGAGCCTTCTCCAAAGCACGGTGCTCCCCAGCAGCGCTGACTGCTCCACCCCTTTGCTTCACAGGGGACAGGACACAGCAAGATAATGGGCATTAATTACCGTTTTTCTAAGCCTCAGGGAGTAGAAGGCAACAGCAAAGGAGAAGAGCAAAGAAACAGTCTGTGGCCAAATTTTGAGCGTGCAAGGTAGTACTTGAGTGGTAGAAAACACTGCTGAGGCAGGGCAGTACTCCCAGGCGCCTGTTGCTTTGCTACTGAGCTTTTCAACAGCTTATTTTGAAAACAGGGAGCAAAGCACTTTGTCACCCCTTCAACTGACAAGGGTTTGAAGCTCTTGAAGACTTCAAAAGCTCTGGCCCACAACTGCATCCTACTGTGAACATCTGAAACTGCCAGCACTTTGTCACAAGTAGGGATCTGGGCTGGCCCCGTTTTCCTCTCTGCCTCCTTTTATCAGACTCCAGGAAGCACTGCTTGGATTTCCAGAACATCCTCCGTTCCTACACACTTACTTGATCGTCGACATGCTCATGTTGTGAAGCTGAACCTTCAGCTCTTGCAGACTCATGCCTTCTGGGACAGGGCAGTTTTTAATCAAGTTCAGCACCTGAAAAAACAAGACCCACCATAAGCACACAGCTGAGCTTCTCTACCATCGCCGGCAAGCTTGAGGAAGAACTGTCTGTCCTCAAAGCGTAACCGAGCTCGCATTCCTGTGTCCAAACCACACCACAGCAGCCTCCGCGGCAACTGCTGTGCTCCTGGAGAAGCCACTTGCACCCACCTGACTCTGATGCGCTGTCAGTCCGTTCACTGGTAGGCTGCCCCCTCCTCCGTAGCCCCCCACGTCACCAATCCCGGCGGAGGAGAACGACTGAGGCATTCTTGGTGCTGACTGCAATTACGAGAGTAAAACTGCTGTGGTTACACAGGCTGCCACAAGCCCACAGCATTAAAGACTCGGTGTTATTTCAGAGAGACAGTCATCAGAAAGAGATTCCCAAAAGAAATCGATGAAAGTGGGCTGCAACACAATCTCCAAGGAAGCCAGGACTCCTGATACACCTTCACCACAGCCCTCCAGCAGCTTCCAGCTTTACAGCCCCGTAACTGATGTACAATTTCCCTGACGAACCAAGAGGTCCCTCTCTTTGGGAAACGGCCCTTACAGAGCTACTGGTTATGACAGATTCAGGATCTTCAAGTACATACCATAAGGTTTTTTCTGAGGATCATATGTGCGTTGACAATCTCTAGTATGTGTGCGGTGAACTCATTCATGTTTTCCAGAGGCATTATTTTAAATGCCACCAAGCTTTTCTTATTCTTTCAGAAGACAAAAAAAAGCAAATAAAATAAAATTAACATAACAAGAACATGCCAGTCCAACCATTCTCTCCAGGAACAGAGACAGTGGTGGGTATGGAGCTCATCTCCACCTAAGTAGTACAAAATTTTCTGACTGACATTTTCAGATGTGATTCTGCATGACAATGCAGACAGGGTAACCAGCTGGTAATTAGCTGCACTTTGCTTTAACGCATGCACTATTATTTGAATATTTATTCATATATTTAGTTACAATATTTAGTGATGAGGCAACCACATCACATAATATGTTATGAGGAGCATCCACATTGACCAGAACCTGGTGTAAGCTCTACCACACAAACACTCGAGAATCTGGTGGTGAGAACCCTGTTCTGCTGAAAACAGCGTACTGATGGAGAGTGGCACTTTAAACAGGTCCTCTGCTCTTTGCATTTAGGCACATTTAAAGTGTTATCAAATACAGTGCTGGCAAACACATTCAAGGATTTGTCCACAGGAAAGGATAACCAAAGACCATGATTAAGCGGACACGTTAAAGGGAGCCCAGATCACCAATCCCTCACACCACTGCCGCAGCCTTGTGCCTTGCAGTCAGATGTGGCTTACGTGACCTCACCTGGAAAGAGCGAAGGTGGCCCGTTACTTTTACGTAAGTTCCTGGAGGTACCACAACATTCTCACCACCTGCCTCCTAACAGAGAGGAAAAGAAAGGTTTAGCTGATTCATGTTTCCAATTATCACAATAAATGCCTTGGGGAAGGAGGCTTATCTCAAGCAAACACAGACAGCATGCATCCCTACGTCCAGTAAGAGCGGTTAGTTAAACATAACCGTAAATGAAAGACAGAGAAAAAAATATTGGCTGGTCTGAACACACTGTATACTTGCAAGCAGTCAAAGCCAGTTGTCTGCTCTGCTCTCTGTCCACTTCTGAGGGATTTTCACCAAGCAACACGAGGAAAGAACCCTCAAATAGTAAAAAAAGTGAGTGTTCAACTACGTAACCTGGCTAGGGGAATGGAAGCTGGCCAGAATCCTTTTTGAAGTTACAATAAACTTACAGTTAAGGTAACTGAATGTTTGCCTAATAACTCTCCCAAAGCTGTTCAACTGAACTCAGCTGTTTGCCTTCAGATACAGGTTCAGATAACGCGGGCTGGTTTTGAAGGCCTGGGCCTGCTATCCCAGCAGAAGAGTCCAGTGGAAGCACTTCAGGCATCAGGAAACAAGACAATGCTCACTGGTAACGCGTCTTCATCTCAGCCACTGAGCCACGAGCAGCATCTCTGTCCCCTCTCTCCTTGTATTTCTACACCAAGGTACTAAGCATACATCTCTCAATTCGGCTATGAAATAGTAGTTGAGCTTCAGCAGCTAAACTCTAAAAAACTACACAAAGTGATTCAATGTAGAATCACGTATTAATTACAAAATAGGAGAAGAGTGACATGCAGCACCAGTGATCTTTGCTACAGCAGCATCTCCCTTGGATTTCAGAGACATGCTATCCCTAAAATGCTTTTCACAAAAGCTGTATCTTTCTGATAAAAAAGTCCTGCGAGGAGCAGGGATTTGGACATGATGATCCTTATAGATCCCTTCCAACTCGAGGTATTCCATGATTCTACAACTTTTCTCTCTTCTCCGCTCCCAAAAGCTTTTAATGAAGTGCGTTCATCAGTGTTGTGCTTACATCAGTATCAACCCACTGCCTGACATCCATCGGGGCTGCTGTCATATCATCCACTTTGTAGAGAATGTTGGTCGGTGCCTTCTCAGCGTGCCGAATTATCCCCATAATGGTGACCTGCGACAGAGGAGGCCAGAGTTGATCCGGGAAGGCCCCGGGAAACGAGCCCGTTTCCCCGCAGCCCACCCACTGCCTTCCCCCCCGCCCACCTGGGAGATGTCCATGTTGCGGATTCGGAAGTTCTCCTCCACCTGCTCTGCTGCCAGCAGCTGCGACACGGTGCAGGGCACGATGTTCTGGGAGCGGATTCTCTGCAAGGGACGGCGAGATCGTCAGCACCGCCGGAGAGCCGCGGCCCCGCTCCGCCGCGGCCCCGCTCCCGGCCTACCTGCTTC